TTTTGTTTGTTTGTTTGTTTTCTGGTAGCAGGATAGGCCTATCAGGAATTAATGTTCACAGAAAGACAGCAACAGTAACTGAGGAAAATATAAAGTTTAATTTAAATAAACAGAGGTTAATTTTAGGTATGGGTAATATTTCAGTTTCAGTTGATAACCAATATGCTAAAATTGTATCTTATTTATTTTTTCTTCCCTGACCTACTTACAGACTAGGTAGTTTTCTCCCTCCTGTCCCATACAGTCATTGCAAAAAGCATTTATTTTCTATCTGTTTCTGGAACTTTTAAAAAAAACATCCACATCAACAACCGTTTCACCCCAGCATCTCCCCTTTGGCAGCAGGCATCAGTCAGCTCCATGTGGCCGGCTGGCACTGCAGGCATCATCTTAATTTTGTCACAAATTTGGTTCCATATATATCAGCGAGTTAGTTATTTTGTTGAAATTGCCAATGTCTTATAATAGTTTAAAGGCTATGATAGGCAGAGAACATGCTGATAGTATTCTACATCCCTAGTAAATAAAATAAAAAAAGCCATTGTCAATGAAGTCTTAGTTTCTCTTCAATACTATTAAAAGGCTTTCTGTGTTTCTCCTAAAACCAATTATGCTACATACCAAACATATTAAACATTTTACTTTTATTTATATGCTACCAAAGGTTTGAAATGAGGTACATTTCTAGACTAGATTTCTGCCTTTATTTTCCTGCAGCCTGATGGATTAACAGGGCTTTTCTTTCCAGCAGGCAGCAACACAGCCCACATTAAACTGTATCGACCAATTAAATTGAGCTTCCTGTATCCATTGATTTGCTTAGTGCTTTTTATTTTTTATTTTTTGCTGTGGCATCAACTTCCTAGAAGTGTCTATTTCCATTATGAAAAACCTTTTCTTCAGATGCAGCAGGGAGAATATGGCATGTTTCTCTCACTAAGTGACAACATCAATGAGTTTGCATTTTAACATCTCTCAGATTGAGTTCTACAGCATTTTGTTTTCTCTTTTCACATGCTGTTTGTGTTATCGGTAGTTTGTAACTAATTAGAAAATCCAATATAAACAGTAAAGATGCACATGTTTGATTATGTCAGATACAGTAAGGAGGAAACAAAAGGAAAAGGGAATTATCTTATACAAATTCATTTCTTTATAAAAATCAGATAGGCTTTTGATCAATAAAAAGAATAAATATGCAACAATAAGCCTAGTGTTTATAAAAAAAAAAAAAAATCCTGCTTGATTCTTAGTTGACTGTCATCAGATTTTGAGTTGTGTTTACTTGCTTCCTTTCTGAGGTGTCATTCTCTCTAAATGAAACCACCCAAACAGGTTTAAAGAGCTACGCATGTTTAAAGTGTACCTGCGTCATGCAGCCTTGGTACACGTCTTCTTTATGTCAGCAGTTGGATTGATGCGAGTGGTTCCTAATATCTTGTTAATTACCTGCATACACTCTTAATATAGAGCTCTCCCACTCTGTCTACAGCCAGGTCTAAAAAATATATATATATAATCTATAGAGCATGCAAAAACCTTGGCAACATCCATGCATTGCTGCACTTCCTGCGTTTTCCTATATGTCTGAGCATACTTCACATCATTTTTGCATGCTCAAAAAAAAAACATTCGGCACCACAGGGTTTTAGATTCTGTGCTATTTAGAATGAATAAGAATGCCTCCCTCTGGCTGTAATATTAACCATTTTCTTCATACAGGTTGTCACGCCGTGATAAAAAGATAAAACCCACTAAGGTGCATTCGGGTAGAGGAAGTCTCATGATGTTTTTAAGGGAAGTCCACCAACATTAGTGTTCTGCCTAACAGGCCTGTTTCCTTTTTAGAGGAGGAAAACTCTTATGTGGACGTGACGTTTAAAACAGGGAATTATCATGTTTTCAGCTCGTTTATAAAAACAGTCAGCTTGTGATGGAGAGCAGAGCAAGCATGTAGAAAGGCAAACATGTAGAGTAAGGATATTTCCCCTCATAATCTGGATAAGTGGTCCTCTTATGTTTAAATACAAACTTGGACAGGTTATGACAAGTGGAATACGGTGAGACTTTAATGGTTTTCTCTGCTTTGGATAATTGTTTATGGAAAAGAAAAGGAAAAACTCTGTTGATACCGATGGGTGACAGTAGTTTCAGTATGAAGGAAGCTTGTGCATCGATGTATGTTTTGTTATTTTCTTTTCTTTTACCATCTTTCCTGCGGGTTGAACACAACCGTTTGTTTTATTATGCCTTACTTGTCTTTGCTACAAATCGGACAAGGAGGAAGTGGGATTTATGCTTTAGAAAACATGCACAGAAACATGGAACAGGGATAATAAGAGCAAAGCTGTTTTGAAAAAGCAGTTGCCTTTATGCAGAAACCTTTTGTTTTTTAGCTGCACTTCAGATGATCGAACAAATGTTGACATCCGGTAGGAACAGCCTGTGGAAAAAGAAGTGTGGCTTTCTAATGATGGTGAAGGTAAAAAAAAAAAAAAAAACTTTTCAAAGCAGCATGGTTGGTTAACAGTTGTGAATTCTTTTGGGGGGGAGAGGCATATTTTTATAGTCAGAGGAGTTTGAATTATTTTTTTTTTCTTAACAAAAATAAAAAAGAAACCACCTAAATATATTTATCTATTTTATATATTTTTTTAATTTATTTTGTGGTGTCTCGAAATCATTTTTCAAGACTACCTTAACTTTTAGTAACAGGTTGTTATACAATATTTATGATTAATAACGAAAAGTGCTTAAAGAGACAAAATGTACAGTCAGTCAAAAATCCCCCAAAGGAACTGATCTCCTCTGTAAAACCAAACCATATAAACGAGTCTCAATTATATCATGTACATCAAACACAAATACGCGGCTGCTGTCAGATAAGCTCAGTGAGGCTTTTAATGCGCCAGAGCTGGAGAGCTGCTTCCAAACGGTCCAAATTTGGACAAGGATTCCAGCCAGATAGTAGTGTGCCCTGAACAGGAGGCCGGCAGGCGTTCATGTGTGTCTGTTTCTCCTGTGGACGCTTGTGTTGTCATGGCAACTGAGAAGAGGAGGCACATGGCCCACACAGTGTGCAGTGATGGGTTCACAGGTTGTGGACATTGGGGGTTATTTTATTTCATTTCTATTGTGAAATTGCAATTATTCCAAATTTTTAAGTGGTGAATTATTGGTTATGTAACATATTTTTCCTCTACAAAAAAGGTTCTTGTTTGTTTTGGATGAATTAATCCTCCTCTCACACCTACCGGTGAATACTCTGAAAAACATTACATTTTCTGCAACCAGATTTAACTGAAAACAAAAAGAAGTGATGTAAACAGGTGACCCATTTCATTTAGCATTTTATAAACCTTTCCCATTAATGAAACGTACTTCAGAGGTTCAAGCCGACCCAGTCTAAATGCAGATTCCTTTTCGTTTTATAGATCGTCTCAAAGCCGCCTCCACATCATGATTCAGTCGGCCGTAAATTGGAACACCCACACTCGCTATTTTTAATTCTAGATTCCCCACTGTCACTGGTTCTGCAGCTTGGTTTGTGGGTGGTGTTAGGACATGGTTCAAACTGCACCGCCGTCATTCATAAATGACATTTAGATAAAAAGTGTTTTTATTTGAGCAGACTTGCTTCCGATGGTGCCATCAGTGATTGTCAGGGACCAAGGAGTTAGGCAAAAGAGACACAGGAGGTAATTTCATAAATCTGGGCTTCATTGACCCAAAAATAAAAAAAAATAGTGCATAAATCAGCCAGCATATAAAAGGTCCACCGACTCTAACAATACTCCAAATTTTTTACGAACCAAAAAGCACACACAGGATAACTGACAATAACTGAAGCAAAGATTTAAACTAACTAAACCCAAATCCCCCCCCATAGTTCAGTGCTACATGGTAGGACCACGGCAAGTACATGGTAACTCAAACAGAGGAAAGAAATGTTAACAAAATACCTTCCTTTGCTGGTGTGTATGCACACCATAACAACAGTGCAAGGTTAAACAAAGTTACAAAATGATTTCAGATAATCATAAATGAAAAATGTTTCCAGCCCCCACTGTGAGCCAGAGCAGTTGGAAGTGTAGCTTTGAGTTGAATCCTCAGAGCTCCTGCGGTGGGGAATGTAGTCGTCTTAGTTGATTGCAGGGGGAGTGGTGGCCTCGTGGTTAGAGCAGGGTGCTGGAGTCCCTGAAAGGCAGCAAGTTCCCTGGCTTGAATCCCACAAAGTGCCACTAACCCCATATTGCTCTCTGGTTGCCGCACAGAGGCAGCCAGCTGCTCCCTAAGGGATGGGTTAAACGTAGAAAGAAAAAAACTACTCGGAATGTGCAAACTTGTAATGATAATAAAGATCATCATATTGTTAACATTGCTTAAATAACCTCTTTTTCTCGATAAAATGTCTGCAGAGTGATAAATTTATCAAATGATCCATAACTGAGATGATCCAGCAAATAAGGAAGCGAGCCTGACCTGCAGCTTTTTAAGGCATTACTCAAAGATTTTTACAGCTGACAAGTTGATAAACATGAAAAACAATTAGACTGCAAACAGCTCCATTGTTCCACCTGTAAATGTGTCTATGTTTTTATGATTCACATATTAATCATAAAAACATAATATTAAGTGTTTCTGATTTTTGGGAGTTATATGGTAAACGTCTGCGTAAAACTACCTGAGAGTTGTTTGCCTTTTATGCATAGCTGACCCATTTCACATTTTCCCTTCTCTTCATAAATTATCTGTATATAAACACAGCACGTCAATGGCTGTATCAGTCAGTGTAGCGTTACACTTTGTGGTATTTCAAGCACCCCTGCTATGTGCAGGCATTTTGGTAGTTCTCCAGCTGCCTAAATTCCTCAACAGTTATGGAGAGACGCAGCGATCCATCAGCAGGACCCAAACGCTCTCTTTCGCTGACATAACCTCTTATTGATGTGTGTGAAAGAAGTCTCATTCCTCTCCTCTCTCTGTGCCGTTCCTTTTAGGCCTGCATAGATGACAACATCGACATGGTGACGTTCCTGGTGGAGCACGGGGCCAGCGTCAACCAGCCCGATAATGAAGGCTGGATCCCCCTCCATGCTGCTGCTTCTTGCGGATACCTGGACATAGCAGAGTAAGTCCCTGACTTTTCACAGCATCATCACTTTCATCAGATTGAAATCCACCCTTTACATCCTGTCTTCTTTTTACTGTAATGTTTCTGTAACTGCTGTGCTCCACACTAAACTTCTCAATAGGTTTCAGATAGGTTTCAGTTCCAGTCTGAGTAATTTGTTGTTTGTGTCTAACCTTATAAAGCTTCCCTTCAAAAACACCCGAGCAGGTTTTATTAGAAGTGCATTTATCTGCTCCTATACCCTTATTGATTCTGTGTGGTACCATTTTTCTGCTCTTGTTAGATTTAGAAAGTATTGTTTTGACTATGAAGCGGCAGCTTCAAACAGATGGCCAGTTGACCTTTTCTGACCATATTTACACACCATTGAGCTGGCAGCGCCTGTGGATTTCTGCTCGGTCTTCCTGCTGCAAATATTTCCAATCAGAATGGCAGCATGTACGATGCTGAGCCAAAAACTTGTTGCCAGCTGAAACAAAATAATTACTTCAGTACTTTTCCAATGAGAGGTTCTCTCTCCTTAGCTTGGTTAAATTCCATGTGTGTTTTTTTATCGGTGGGGGTTGTTTTTTAGCAATGCAGCGAATTTCAATCACATGCTAATCAGAAAGTAAAAAAATTTAATATTTAGATTTTAATGCACAAATTTAGCAAAAAGCATCTGTAAAAGTCATTTTTAATTTTGCTTTGCACAGAAGCTACATCCTACAAGCTAGTTGATTAGCTCATTCCTTGTGTAGCACCTCCTCCTGCTGCTGCAGACTGCTGGTCAGCTGGCTGAAGAAGGCTCCTGCACTTTCCTCACTTGAAGACAACACTTAGAGATTTGGAAATAGTTAAACCTAAACAATGATTTAACATCCAGCATGACTGCCAGGCTTACCGAATGCGTCGGATGTTTTTAAATGTATTAATTTTGTGTTAATTAATTAAGTAGAGGGAAAAGATATCAATAGGTGTATTTGAAACACATTTTGCAAAAAAAAACGGATTGTTTTCAAACACAAAAATGGATGTTATGAGGCAGGAAACTTGAGAACGTATTTCAGCCAGTTAACCAGCACTGCAGAGCTACAGGATTGTTGTTTAAAACTTTTTTAATACTGTAACCTCTTAAAATCTCTTAACTCATCTCTGCAGTAACCTCTCTATAACTCTGGTTAAGACCATTGTCATTCATTGCCAGTTTCGGTATGTTCTCATTATAAAAAGCGTTTGTCTCATCAAATACTGAGAGATTAGGGTCACTCTCTAGATCAGGTGCTGCAAGTTAGTATTTGTCAGGTAAGAAGATGACTCACATGGCATAAGCGACAACGCATCGATGTTATCAGAAGACATTTAAACAGGCTAAAGGAGCTCAGTAGTCCTCATTGTTCTCCATAGTGGGAGTGTGCTTTGACCTGCTTTACTTGGGTTACATTTCTGAAGTCTAGCTCCGGGTTGATATGTTTTACCAAGAACTGCCGCTCGCAGGGGAGAAACAAAAATGCCACATTGGTTCGGTTTATTTGGAGAAATACTACTAAAATTAGATATCTAAGCAATTTTCCTTTTTTTGTTTAATAAATGCCACTTCATTTGGACTTCAATAAGAGAAGTCTGTTTTGAGTAGGCCTAAGGGACCCACAGAGAGGAGGCAGTATGACAGAAAACAAGCAGGCATTTGTTTGACATTTTGAGGGAAAATGTCAAGTGGCTGATCTGACATTGGTGACTAATGGAGGCATCATGTCACAGAGGGTGAAACTCTGCAAACTGATGTAGGCCCATTTTAATCAGCATCCTCTTTCACAATAGCAGGAACCAATAAACAGAGCCAGATCAGTTGGGTTCTGCTCTCACCACCATCAACCTATAGCGGAATAGGGGTAAGAAACTCAGCAGAACTGTAGAAAACAAAGCCAGCAAATTATTTGAGTCTACCTAGAAAATGGAAGGATAGAAAGTCCAATCAAAAAGATGTGATGTAATTCTACTTGGTCAGTTCAGTTTGCAAGAAATACAAGTGTTTTTCAAGTGGGTTGTTGGTCTAATGAGAAGGGCCTGAGTGTCACCACAGCTTTAATTGGAGGCAGCTGAGCTTGAGACCATAATGGTTTAAATGGCTTCAGTTGCTGCAGGAAACAAGGCTTGGAGATTAAAATAACATTTTCTTAAACTAACTTAATTTTTTCTAGTTTTTATTTTTATAATTTCTTTTTCCTTCTTTATTTAATAAGGTCTGTTGAATATAATGTTTTTAAAAGATTAAATACAGTCAGAGCTACACAATGTATGATTTAATTAGTTAATGACTGCTTTATTGGACTGTTGTACTGAAACTGTTATTTGGGTATTTTAATAGCTGTATATCATCCTTTAGGTCCACGCCTGATTGGTTCTGTTTTTATGACCAAAATCAGACCAGGGAAAGTAAAGGAAACAATACATGGGTGGGAAAGAAGGAAAACTGATCAATTGAAATGTCATTGCAATACTTAATGCGATCTAAATGTCATGCTTTCTATATATCCTGGAGCCCCGAGGATACTTTTGACCAAGCTTCTTAATTTGAAGGCTTAGCTTGTCTGTTTTGATGGAGAGGCATGAATTGGCTAAAAGCTGTACTCTGGTTGAAGGGATCAAATTGGGACATTTCAGTTAAAGTCTAAATCTAGGGTGGAACACAGACTTGTCTCTTTCTTTATCCATGTTGACATGTCAACACTATTTTTAGGTCTTGTTCTGTGTGCCCCTTTGTCACTTCAGACCTACGTTTTGTTCTTGCATGCTACCACTATGTTCCTTTCTACTTGAATTTCTTACCTGCAGGCAAACCATGCAGTATCTTTCATGTCATTATCATTCTTTGCAGTTTAGTATTTTAATAATGCTCAAATCTGTGGCTTTATTAATATAACTGCTTTTTTTTGTATTAACTCTTTATATTGTGAAGTTTTTCCTTTTAATTGTGGCCCTGATCAGCGGCTCATTTTAAGGAACCGAAAACATTATTTCCTAAATTACACATAAAGGCACAATATCCAGCCCTGTTTTCCTTCCTTGCCAGATTTTCCCTAGATTCTAAATATTCATGATGTGTTTTCAACCTTTTGGCTCAGTGTTATGTTAAGTTGTAGCGTAATAAAATACAATTTAAGACTGGTGCATCTTTTTTTTAAAAATGTTTTCTTTTCTGTGTAGTAGCTTTATGGAATGTTTTAATGTTTGCGTATCTCTAATATTTAAATTGGCATTAATTGATTTGCAGTTTCTTACACAAGTCACATGAACTCTTAACCTGATAACCGATGCATCAGTAAACGCCACCATTTCTTTTTTTCCCTGAACTTTTTTTTCTTCCAGGTTTTAGGACCAAACATTTCCATCACTGGAGAAATGAAAGATTTAGCCTTCAAATGTTTACTCGTTTTATATTTCTCTAATTTTAGCGTGTTTTCTTCAATGTAGGTATCTGATCAGCCAGGGTGCTAATGTTGGAGTTGTGAACAGCGAGGGGGAGACCCCTCTGGACATTGCTGAAGAGGAGCCAATGGAGGAACTTCTACAAAATGAGATAAACCGACAAGGTAGAGCATTTCATACATCTGCACATCTATTTAAAATGAACTGAAACTCTTCCTGCTATTCGGATTTTGTAAAAAATATTCCATCCTTATGTCTTTCCTTAAAGTGACAGATGCTATGAGCCATTCCATATTTTATGCATGCAAGGGTTTTTAAAAAAACATGAACTAAACTGTAGGGGCATCAGCCACCTGCCGTGTTTCTGAACCCCTAATACGACCATATATATTATAGAAGGGTCATCCAGCTGCGTTATTGGCTCCCATCTGATGAATCAGAAGTAAAAAGCTGGGTTTGACTATTTTTAGCTCAAGCATTCCTGACAGAGGGCCCTCCCTCATGGAAAGAGGCCACCTGGCCCCTGTCCAGAAGGGTTGTTCCTCAGTTTATTTTCACCCAAAAGGCTTGAGTGACCTGCCATTGTCTAATTAATCCGACGCAGATGCATCGAAGTCTTTCTTTGATACTAGTTATATGCATACATATGAACAGAAATGTAAAGTTTAATTGAATTGTTACTTCAAGTATTTGTACACAGAGTCTTGATGCATGCAATTTGCTTAAGAATAGCCTACTTATGCCATTTGCGATTTATTTAAAATGCATATCAGAGGTTTTTGTTTTGTTTTCTCTATTTCAAATATTAATTGGTAGAGCCATGTAGGTTTAATCGGTCTCTTGTCTATGTGTATCAAAGTTTGCTGCTTTATCTTTTAGTTTCTAACTTTTTATCCCACAACACGGAGCTTTAAAAGTGGAAAACATCCAGTGATATAGTTGCACTCTGATAAATAGTGATTGCATATGATCTCTTCGTCATAGAAAGTATTTCTGGGATATTTTTTTTTTTAAGTAATCTGCCAAACCTCCAGCTTCCAAAAAACCCCTCAATACTCAGCTGATAAAAGCTCTGATTGACTTTTTCTCACAACTCTGACATCTTTTAATAATAGAGGATTTAACAAAGTAGGAAAACATGAAACAGAACTATCTCTTTCCTCTCTGTGAGCAAAATCTAAATCGGGATTTATTTTAACATAAAAACAGGACCGTTTAAACTGCTTCCATGACGAAGCTTCGCTGTTGTGTGAATTTGCAGTGAGCCTGGCCTGAGGGCAGTTGCTCATTTTCTTTTTTATATATATTTATATTCTTTTTTTTCATGCTAGAGGTGGTAGGCAGCATTATGCAACCAAATGTTGTGTAACACTTTCCTGTGTTTGTGGTTTAATTTTTCTGCCTCTAATGAGACACCACAGAGTTAAACTTGTTAGCAAGGGATGGCAGGGATCAGAATGCATGAAGAACTTCCAGATCCTCTCCTGGGTCTGATTTTTTTAATCGAATGGGAGCCTGAACATCTCAGAAAATGCTGCCTTAAAGCTCCATCTTCAATCTGTCATGATAGAGCTGGACTACCTCATAAATGCTGCTCACCTGCACTTTGTCATCTTAGATGTATTTAAACCTCTGATAAAAAATGTTTGTTGCTGCTGTCTCTTTCGACAGTGTTTGAACACAAAATGTTTCGGAGATTCTCTGTTTCCTTTGTCTAATCTCGAGTAGACTCATTTCTCTCACTAGTAGAAAAGCAGCTTTGAACTGCCAACTTTTCCACTCATCGCTTTTTCCATATTGCTGCTTAGAGGCCATTAGGCTCCATGCTTTTTATAGACTTTGTTGTCTGCTTCAGCAGAGATCAAAGGATGCCGGCTGGCATCCTTCTCTGCATCAGGTGAAATAATGTGCATCACTTTGCTATCATGATCTAGAATAAAGTGCCATGTAAACGCATTCAAATTCTTGATCATCTATAAACACTTATACATCTGGAGAGAGTGTCAATTGTTGAATAATTGTGACGGATCACTACAAATTAGTAGATTGTAGTGTTTTTTTCTGTTGTTTTTTTCTCTAAAATGATGTATGTTTGTCAAATTATTTGGCAACAAATACCTGAGAGAAAACTTCTGTTTTAAATAAAAAAGAGCTCCAATAAAGGTTGGAGAACACTGGGCTGAACCAAGCCTTATTATGATGAGCTTAAACCCGACTCCTTCCCCAGAACACAGCTCAGGTCCATGTTTATATGATGTAGTTCAGCGCAGAGCAGTCGAGGCTCGACTATGAAAATTACTTTTCAGCCCATATTTCAGCCAAGCCTCACACTAAGACAGGTCTGTTTTCACCGTTTCCTAGTATGGATTGTATAACACTGACATACTGACCCTTTTTACCACCTAAGCAGTGTCTTATGTTTGCAACTATTGTGTTGTTTATATGCTGGATATTGGCACAAACAGTTCCCCAAAGCATAACAAAGTACTCTTGTATTCAGAGGCGGGGCTATAATTATCCAAGATCTGGTTTTCCTCCACAGATCTGGAAATGCAGCGTACAACACGGACTTTACTTAAGAGAATAGCAGTGATGATTATGTGGGCAAAGATATGATTGAAGTTTGTGTGCATGCATTTTTAGTAGCTGTGCAATAAAACATCATGTATCATGATAAAAATGTGATCCATAACAATAAAAAGATGTTTGATAATGACTGAAAAAAATGTCTTGAACTCAGCAAGCAACTTAACCAAAATAATAGGAAATGCAGAGGCATGCAAGGTATTCTGGGGGACGTAGTTTAGAGGAGACAGCCCTTAGCTCCCACTGCTCAACCAACTAGCAACACCACGTAGCAACAACATAGCCAGCTTGCGCTTTCTCAACTGTGCCGTACTGTTTGAGAACTCCAGAGGCTAGTCAGTGGGAATGAGTTTGCAAGAACGGGAGGACCATCAAGGAAGGTTCTCATCACCAGTGTGGCTGTATTTCGGTTATTTAAAGGCCAACAGGATCAATGCTGTCGGTAAGCGATGCCTGGTCACCATGCCGACCAAATCGGGCAAAAAAACAACTTATTTTATCTCCTGAGCCAGTCTCATCTGGTGAAGTACAGTAACCTAGTCATCATCATCTGTAGTCATCGTCGGTACAAGCTGAACAGCAGACAACTTGCAGGTCCACAGCATTGGTATCGCATGATAAAAATCATGATTTAGTAAATGTTTTTATTATTTTTTTTTATTTTATTTGACCTTTTTTTTTAAAATGGGTACACTCAAAATTTTAATTAAAAAAAGTTACATTTAGCCTTTTTTTTTTACTCCTGGTCTTTATTATCGACCAATATGAAACCTTATATTTTTTTTAGCCATATCGCCCAACCCTACTTTATAGAAATGGGACTGACATCACCTGACAAATTGTAAATAAAGCGAGGTGAGACATCTTTCTGGTATGCACTCCAATCAGTCATTGCAGATACAGTCAGGGGTGTGCAAAGCTGATAACTGCAAAAGTGCTCTTGGGATTAAGCAGAACTATGGTCTTATTTTGGCTCAGTGATGATGATGATGATGATGATATCTGTTTCTATAACTGGAAATTAGTTTACTTTACTACTTTAAATGACTTTTTATGACTGAAAGTATAAATAGTACAATGTTCTCCAGTTAATCTGATTGTCTCTGACCAACTTTTTGACGAGTCCTTTACTTTTAATAAATCTTCTGACAATTCAATGAAAAGCTGCGAATCATACAATTTTAGAGGCCTTTTAACATTAGGTTCTGGTTTAATTAGTTGTATTTAAACCACTGATAGTTTTGAAGAATAAAAATCTACTATAATGAAAGTTTTTTGCCTCTTTTCTGTGCACTGCACTCCCTGCTAATAATGTGCAGATTGGCTTTTAGAACATGCAATATTTAGAGCATAAAAGATGTTATAAAGGTTGGAAGTCTTTTGATGCTGCATTTCAGTTATCTAAAAAAAAAAAAAGGCTTAAAAATTGGTTATTTCAGATTTTTTTTGTAATTAATTTCTGGTACACGGTGTGTGCCTTTTTCCTGTCATTGATTCAACATCTCTCTGATCTCTTGTTGCCTGTTTGTTTCTTTATTTGTCTCGGTTTCTCCAGGGTTGGACATAGAAGCAGCTCGTAAAGAGGAGGAGCGGATCATGCTGAGGGACGCCCGGCAGTGGCTCAACAGCGGCCAGATTCAAGACACCCGGCATGCGAAATCAGGAGGAACGGCGCTCCACGTAGCCGCCGCTAAAGGATACGTGGAGGTTTTAAAGTAAGCATAGAGTTGATGCTGTATGGAGTAGCTGGAGCGTGTAATGACCTTCATATGTGTAGCATACAGCAGCGTAAAGCTGGTTCATTGAGTTCATTTAGAGAAGCACTTTGAACAGCGTGAGTCAGGTTATGAAAGCAGGTTTTTTTTTTTTTCCTAACCTTAGATTTATCCCAGTAGATGCATCTTATCATTTTGCTTTGTTTTGACATGGTTTCTTGGGGTTGTTAATACACTACGTTACTTAAGCATAGGAACTGCAGTAACTTGTTCATTTGATCTGGGATGGCAGCCAGAACTGTGCAGCCTGGGATTCTTCGGAGCTCCAATGGTGTATATAGCAGCCATCATACATTAACCAGTGAGCTAACTATCTGCTGTGTCATATCAGCTCTAACACTGCAATCTTCTTTATCCAGTTTTAACAACATGCTTAAAATGTTAAGATCCTGTATTTACTTTCTTATCCTGCCACTATTTTGTAGTTATTTTTAATGGGATTTTATGTTATAGACCTTAAAGTGCAGCTCTGGAGCCACCAGTGGCTATTAATAGTGGTTAAAAATGATAAAGAATCATCTAATGATTTTGAAAATGGTATATTAACAAATATATATATTTTTTAAATGAACATTTGCATACATTTTTCACAACAGAAGGACATTAAGGAACCATAAATGTTTTAAGATCTACATTTCTTGTCATTAGCTTGGAAACTGTATTTATTTTTACATAAAATAATATCCTATACAGCAGAAAATAATGCTTCGTCCTTATGGAACGTCTTTGTCCTTATTTTATGAAATAATGATCAGAAAATTCACATTTACTTAAAAAGAAACTAGTCGACATTAAGCATTCTGACAAGTGAAAAACATTGTCATGGATTTTCTCTTCTACGTGTGTTAGAAATCTCAATAAGTTATTTTTTTCTTAAAATAAGTGCGTTTTTCCTTGATTTGAGGAGGTAAGTAAGACACTTTGCCAATGGAACAAGACAATTTCCTTTTAAAATAAGAAAAAACTATTTTATCGTCTTATTTCAAGTAAATATTATCTATCTTATTTTAAGAGTGAAAATACTCATTCCATTGGCAGATCATCTTATTTACCTGCTCAAATTAAGGCTAAATATACTTAATTTAAGCCATTTTTTACTTATTTCTGGATTGTTTTTGCAGTGCAGTTTTATAATTCTCAAAGGCACAGATTTTGTAAGTCTAACTTGTGGTTATAACAGGAGCACACTTCTGAATGCAGAAATCTGCGCAGCTTCTTAAAGGCTTAGTTCGAAGAATCAAATCCATCGAACGCATTCGCTAATTAACATAAACTATTTCTGTCCCTCTGCCTTCCCAAACCCCTCATTGTTCAGGCTTTTAATCCAAGCAGGGTATGACGTCAACATTAAAGACTATGATGGCTGGACGCCTCTACACGCAGCGGCACACTGGGGCAAAGAGGAGGCCTGTAGGATACTGGTGGAGAATCTGTGCGACATGGATCTTATTAATAAAATGGTTGGTTGAGATAATGATGGGTATCTGTTGATCACTGTTGTGCAATAGTTCAGCTGTATTCTCACCTCTTTTCTTCAGGGCCAGACTGCTTTTGATGTAGCTGATGAAGATGTATTGGGATACTTAGAGGAGCTACAGAAGAAACAAAATCTGGTGAGTCAGCGTGATCACTGATTGGATAATGTAATCCAGCCTAATCAGTTTGGACCAGCTTCTGAGACCATCTGATTTCATGCGTCCGAGAATCGGAGAGTCATGCTGTTTTCTTTATTCCAGCTTATGAGTGAGAAGAAAGATGTTAAGAAGTCTCCTCTGATTGAAACAACAACCACGGAAGACAACAACCAATCACTGAAACCACCTAAAAGGTAAATGGGCTTCGTCCTGGAGGAAAATGATCCCTTCATAGTTTTTATGCTGCTGTCCAGCAAAAAAAAAAAAAACAACTTATTTCTGTGATGATGTGTTTCAGCAAAGAGGCGCTGCTTCTGGAGCCAGAGAAGACGGCTCCACGCATCGAGACCTTGGAGCCAGAGAAGGTGGACGAAGAGGAAGAGGGCAAGAAGGACGAATCAAGCTGCTCAAGTGAAGAGGAAGACGAGGAAGACTCTGAGTCTGAAAATGAAGCAGGTGTGTTTTTTTTATACAGCTATAAAAACAACAAAAACAGCACTTTGCTTTGAATAACAACAAAGTATACAGAATTTGTAATCATAATGTAACAAAGAACGTTATTATTCACAGATAAGAGCAAGACTCCAGCAGCGGTGACCAGCAGCACGACCACCACCCCGGCCACAGTCAGCGCGTCATCTCCAACCAGTCCAACTAATCAGGTGACCACGCCCACTTCACCAGTTAAGAAGGTAAGACCAGGTACCGAACATCTGGTCTTTTCTTGGGAACCGTTCACATCAAAACAGTTCAGTCTTAAAGGCTGTTTTGTATAAAACGTTTAAGGAAGTCCAGTGTTGCAGCACAGGCGCAACTCTGTCATCATTCTACTTCTTTTTAATAACTGCCAGTCATGTTCTGAACTTGGTGTTACTACAAACTGGAGATACGACTTCCAGCTTGTTCTGCAAAAAAGCCTACAATCCATATAGTATTTATACCCACTGAGCTCTTCATTTCACCTTTTCTTACATGTTACAACCACAACTGGAATTTGATATAAACATTCACAAGTAGCAGATAAAATTGGAACAGATCAGTCAAACATTTAAGTAAACAAGTCATACTTGTATTATGATAAAAAAATGAATGAGTTAAATAAATTTGGTCACGTTTAACACATGGAGGACGGTGAGCTTCAGATCCACAGACTTTCTATTCAATGCTATGACTGTAGATGGTTTTAGATTTTTTTAAATTCATGTGAAAAAACCTGAACACCCTACTGATATTATTTAGCTCTTTAGGTTCCAGGAAACTGAAATCAGTCAACTTAAAGTAACCAAATGTAGTTAAAGTTGCAGGAATGATTAACTAAATAATTTTACCAAAAAAACAAAACATACAGATTTAAGTGGATTCAAAAGTTTTGTTGAATAGAAATATACTGCCACTTTGGGATCTGCTGCCCTCTGCTGGCAAAAAGAAAAATTCCCTCTAAAGAAGAGCATTAGAAATTTCTGCAAGGCTCTGTCTTTTTTGTCTCATGTCTTTTGCTGCAAATGTTGGCTGCTGTGTGACTAAAAGAAGCCAACTGAAATGATGTGGATGACCCAATGCTATAGAGTGAAGGAAATGCTTTGTGAAAAATTGATAAGTTTCACTCATCCTGTCTGCTTTTATTTCTGCTTCTAAAACGTCATACCTTATTTAAAGGCCGGTGCTTACACACCATGCCTTACTTTGATAATTGAGTCTTTTTTTTCCCTCGTACTGCGCTGTAATTACTTGACCATTGCCCCTAGTTTGGCTCCATGTAGTGTGACTGGGCTTTAAAATGCCTGCCCTCGCAAACAGACTGTTTCTTTTGCTTCTGCTTCTGTCTTATTCTGCCATTTTCTTTTCCAACCTCTCTGTCTTCCTCCTTGTCTGTCCTATTTTACCATCCTGGCCTCTTTGGCAATGTTGGCTTTAGTCTGATTACATTACACCTCTCATGCCTTTGGCGGAGCCAGGCTGTCCTGCATTGTGGCGTCAAGGTTTGCGCAAAACTGGCATTTCTCTTGTGCCCAAAAAACCTATGGTGAGGCATTGGTGTGCACCGGAGTGGCTGTTTCATCCTACATGCACTTTGCACTCACAAAGCACTAAAGTTTCCCCTAACCCTCCACCAATTTCAGGTGATGTAGGATTTTTCCACTTGCTTGGGTTTGCCTCTTGAAGAATTTTTGTGCGGCACTAAATTGTGATGTCTTCAGGGGCCTGCAGCTGTTGACCCGCTCAGAGGGGTCAACCACAAACAGCTTCCTCCTCTCCTGCTCTCTGAGCCCACGCTCTAGCTGTATATACTAGAGCTCTAACTACCATTATTCATCATTTTCAGCTTAAGAATAAGATTTGAGGTACCAATGAAGTAAATATTTGTATAATCATATGAAAACCAAAGTAAATTCTAATTCCCAACAGAAATATTTGAATAATTTGACTATTGCTTTTAACCCAGTGGAAAAATCCAACAAGTGATTGAACTTCCCTCTCACTCATAAACATTGCATAGTGCTTTCCCCCCCCACTTTTAATGGACCGATGCACCGCTAACTTTGTTTTTGACATTGTGTCTGTGTGGATTCTGTGTTTTCAATGGCTTTTAACCTCTCATGGTGGTTTAAACGGTATGAGGTCCGAGTTTTGTTTTGCTAAAACATCAGATTTCATCCGAGTTTTAAATTAGGGTGATAGGATTGTCATTTAATTGGGTTTTATTTCCTAAAATTTTAAATATATTTGCCCCAGTTGTTGGTCCCCCTTCAGCCTTATGTATTTTTTTAACCTTTAATATAAACTTTGATTTATTCAATTGAGCTTTGAGCTTATGTATTATAACCAACACACAGTGATGCATAATTGTGAAAGAGAAGGAAAAATCTCTCTTCTACAACACTATTTACACGGCCACCTTTAAATAATATCAAGTGTGGCTATTCTCCATATTTATTAGTTAATTTATTCCACATTATGTAGACGTCTGTTTAAGTACGAATGTATTTATGTGCAGGTTTGCTTAAATGGAAGAAAGGGAGAAAGGTTTGCTGGTGGCAGCAGCGACAAGCTGCTGTAGTCATCAAAAAGCCTTTAAAAAAAACCAACTGACTTTTGTTTGAGTTTTTTTTCCACCCAGGTTTTTATTTGTAAAGGTTTTGAAAACCTTAAATGTTCTTCTACTTTACTATTATGTACTGCTGTGTGTTGGTCCTACACAAGGTATCAAAATAGAATACATTAAGCTGACAAAATATGGAAAAGTTCATGGTTTTAATATTTTACCAAATGACTGCTGCTGCTTTTTAATTAATCAAGTGTTTGATGTGATTCCTGATTGTTTCTGACTAAGATTACTAAGAATCGATCCATAATCAGGTCCATAAATGCATATTCCATGTTGTCTAAGCTGCTGCCTCATCCTCACAATCTCCAGGTCGTTCAGCCGGCTGGAAAGGTCTCAACCAAAGTGGTGGAGGAGGATAGGAAGGACGAGTCTCCGGCATCATGGCGTCTGGGTCTGAGGAAGACGGGCAGCTATGGGGCGCTGTCTGAGATCACAGCCACAAAGGAGGCTCAGAGGGAGAAGGACACTACAGGCGTAATGCGCTCCGCCTCAAGCCCTCGCCTCACCTCGTCTCTGGACAATAAGGAAAAAGAAAAGGTTAGCTGTGACGAGCGGTCCAGATCTATCCTAGAAGGCAGCCTGTTTAAACCACTTCACCTTCCAGCAGAATAACGAGCCTAAATGTGGCGCCAGAGCAGAGGCATAGTTTAGATCAAACTGGCTCCGCCAAAATCCAAACATTCATCACCCTGAGAATCTGTGGCGCGAGTCGAATGTTAGTGTTTATAGATGCTCTCCGCCCGATCCAAGCTTGGGCTGTTTTACAAACAGAAGTGGGCATATAGTTTATTCTCTGAATGTGCAAAGTTGCTCGTCACACCCCAGAAATTGCTGCGGAAAAGTCAGTGAAAAATAAAAAGGATTAGGTTTCCTTTCTCATGGAAAGGCATAAGAAGGTATTTTAGTCTTGATTGATTTTGTTTAAAACAAGCCATTGAATACAATCTTAGAGAAAAGCTCCAACAGAAGCTTTTATTAATGTAAACAACATTCATGTTGTACCTTGTTGCTAACAGAATGCTTGTTTATTGTGCTTTCTGAAGGAGAAGGACAAAGGAACCAGACTTGCGTACGTGGCTCCAACCATCCCAAGGAGACTTGCCAGTACTTCAGACATCGATGAGAAGGAAAACAGGTGAACCCCTGGAGCCAAGTAGTGGCTCTGTGCAAACATGCATTGGCAGGAGTTCCTCCTGTGTCTTGAGGCTGTATGTTACCCTGATACTCTGCCCCTAATGCTTTGAATATAAATTTCCCTCCCAAAAAAAGTAGAGCAGTAGTAAACATGTCTGTTAGCAGAAATGTGAGCACTGAAACAGCTTATGGGTCTGCAGGGACTCCACAGCTCTGATACGTAGCGGCTCATACACTCGGCGACGCTGGGATGACGACTTGAAGAACAGCGAAGGAAGCTCCTCTACCAACCGAACCTCCAGCTACCAGCGCAGGTTAGGCCCTCTTTAACCTCCATTCAAGTCTCTGACCTCCCCGAATCCTGGCCAGTTGCTGTTTTTATCAATCACCGTGTTTGTATGTACATGCTTTTTATAGTCAATCAGCCCACAGCGCCTCTCTATGCTGCTACAGTTTGTTGCATGACTGTACCTGTTCTGTCAAGCTGCAGGGCCACGGTGTTTAAAATGCACCACAGTGTTATTTCAGCAAGCCAAGCTACTGTGTGTCATCAGATAAATCATAAACCCCGACACGTAAAGCTGCATTCATCTCTTACCTGACAAATTGTGGCTGTAAACCACCTTTTGGAAACCGGTTCTATTTGGGAACGTATATTTAGTTTTTCCATCTACCTGCATTTTATAATAATGCCAAAAAATAATAGATTTTTATAGTTTCCAAAACACAACAGTAATCATTTTATTCTCAGACATTGTCCAGCTGTGTTTCTCCTCTCCTGTGCTTTGAATGCAGCAGTAGTATTCCAAGGCTTCAAAGTCGTAAACATGTTTTCTGTGTTTTTATAAATGTTTGTGTGTCCGTGTGTGCTCCTCCACTGCTAACTCTCTTGCCCACCTGCCTGCCGACACGCTAGCACGTCCCATACGCTAGCGCTTGGGCGGAGCGGCAGCACGCGGGACGTGCCAGCCAAGTCTTCGTCCACCTCCAGCTTGGACCCTAACACCTGTAACACTAAACCCTGGCAGCCACCCACCTCCCACTACCCGTCTTACAGCATTTACCGCAGGTACAAGGTCGTCTCCACACCCAGCTGTCCTTTCTATCTGCCTCTCTGCTCTGCTGGATGTTTCCTGTCAGACCACCTGATGTTTGATATGTTTGTTTATCCAAATACTTTAAATGCAGGATGTTTTACCAATTGAAATTGAACCATGCGTTGAGCTTTGTTGTTTAATGCAGCAAGATACTTTTCAATAAAACCTTGAAGGAATGAATCCAAAAATATCTATTACCTGAACAGGCTGTCTGTGGTCTGTTTGCTATGAACCTGAAGCAGGAAGGAAGCGAAACTGTTGTCATTTGGGGTATGATTTCTTTTGTGTGCCGTAGATAAACGAAATGGAAATTACTCTGCAATCTTCCTCCCTAATCAAAGAAAGTTTAAACTAATCTAAGTCATCTAAGCCTACAGAGTACAAGCTCTCCTCTCCTCAGTGTCTGTAAATCTGACCTGTCCACTCGCTCATAATGTTGGAGAACAAACAGCAATAAAATCCTAACAGCAGTACTTTAATAAGGGCTTCTAACGCGTTGGATTTTCCCTTAAGAGGCATCAACTGCTTGGACTTTGTGTAGCAGAGATGTCCAGGTCTCACTGACACTGCCCTGGACTCGCTGCTCAGGAGTCTTTTGCTGTGACTCGGTGTGTTTCCTGGAGAATTAGTAAAGGGGCCATAAAGTCCTCAGGATTTATGTCGAATACCAACCTGAAGCTACTTCCTGTAAAGGAGTCAGGCTGCAAAATCTGTAGTTTGAGATAAAAAGACAGGTGATACTTAAAGGAATAGTACACCCAAAACATGATTAGCCTTCATTTTCTACTCACCCCCATGCTGAACAACACTCTGGAGTACTTTTTTGATATCTCAAATGCATCTGGAGATCTGGGAGGCTTCTTGCTGTCTGCTGACATTCAAATAATGGAGGTCTATGGTGACCGAGACAGAAAGGTCCATAAAAGTCCTCAAAAAACGTGTCAATATTCCTCCATACTGCTCGTCCAATGTATTCCAAGTGTCCTGAGTGGGTAGCATCCAGAATTTACTCGAAACTAAGTCATTTAGAATGTTTTTAGAGCATAAACAGTAGTTTATAGGATTTCCTGAAAGCGCGCGCCTGCGCGTTCACGACGCTACGGAAGCCGGCAGACCAAACCAGATGAAAGTGCGCATTCAGCGTCTGCTCTGCCAATAATGCAAGCGTAGAAGAAGAAATGTGCTGTTTACCTGTGCAAAGAAAGAAACAACGAAAGAAAAATGTCTGAGGACTTCAGTGTTGAGGAAGAGCATGAGTTCTTTGCCGAGCTGAATGCGCACTTTCATCTGGTTTGGTCTGCCGCGGTTTCCGTAGCGTCGTGAACGCGCATGTGCACGCTTTCAGGAAATCCTATACACTACTGTTTATGCTCTAAAAACATTGTAAATGACTTCGTTTCGAGTAAATTCTGGATGCTACCCACTCAGGACACTTGGAATACATTGGACGAGCAGTATGGAGGAATATTGACACGTTTTTTATGGACTTTTATGGACCTTTCTGCCTCGGGCGCCATAGACCTCCATTATTTGAATGTCAGCAGACAGCAAGAAGCCTCCCAGATCTCCAGATGCATTTGAGATATCAAAAAAGTACTCCAGAGTGTTGTTCAGCATGGGGGTGAGTAGAAAACGAAGGCTAATCATGTTTTGGGTGTACTATTCCTTTAAGGTGTTCTTTTTTTTCCTTCTGGTATTCATTGCAACTCTGTCTCCACAGCGGCTCTTTTGGCAGACGACACGAGGAGCCCAGCTCCACCACCTCCTCCTCTTCTACAACCACCACCTCCTCGTCTGTTACCTCACCCACAGGCCATCGCAGCCTCCTCTCCAGCCTGGGTTCCTCTTCCACCCGAACTGGCTCCACCAGTCTCACCAGCAGGTAAAGCTGGTGGAAATGACAGCTTTGTAGAAACGAATAAATCCTTCAAAGTGTGAAGCAGGTTTCCTTCCTGTTAGTAAAATGCTGACTGTGTGAACAGGTACTGGTCTGAGGAGAGTGCAGAGAGGGAAAAGGAGAAGGACTCGGCTGCTGTTATACCCACTATAAACACTGGCTCCACCACGACAACCACGTCTGCCACTACCACAACCGCCCTATCAACCACTAGCACCGGCGTAGTCACCGGCTCAGAACGGCGCAGGTAACGCTGGAAAACTTTGAGTTCTCTCAGTCAAAGAGCAAAACTGATGCGCTTTTAATTTACACTGGGAGGGAAAGAGTTTTCCAATGTTGTGTTGATGCAGGTTATGGTGCAGCAGCACTGAAATAAACCACCTGTCTCTGTGGGAGCAGGTTCAGAGCTTTGACGGCTCCAATAACTTCCCCATATAAGGAAGGTGGGCAAAAGCTGCTTCTTTGGCTCAAGGCTGCGGCTCTTTTCCCCTCTGAAACTGTTCATCCTGCTGTGTGGCCAACAGAAGCCGTTCTGATAAGTTTGAGGATATTGTAGCAGAATGTTGAGTCTGGATTTTAAACTGGACGAACACGACGTTCTCAGTTTTTTCCTTTCTTACGCTCTGTGCTACAGTTCATGCACAGCAGGGAAGCAGAAAGGCCTCAGCATGGTTTAGAAATAAAAATGATCTATTCGTCCACTCCAGATCCTTAAAGGGGGTCCATACACATTCTGAAAAATCCTGGAATTTAAGGCATTTTCCAGGTCTGGATGATTATGGAAAGATAATTTCTATCATCCTATATTCCCTGTCCTGCTGTCTAAATGGTTTGTCATTTCTTCTTCTCTCCCTTTCCTCTTTGACTTTTACATCTTTTATTATTCATTTCTTTTTTTTGTATCCTTCTTTGTACGCTAGATTCAATTTAATTATTAAATACTTTATTTATCCCAGAGGAGAATCAAAATAATTATTTTCCTTTCTCCAATCTTTAGTTCCCTCCCTTCATCCTGTCTTTTTCATTTCTCCTTCCCTCTTTTGTTTCCTATGCCTGTTATTTCTCATATCTTCCTCCCATATTTTCTATTTCCTGGTTTCCATATTGTAGTGTATCTCCTCTAACTCCATTTAGACTCACTGCCGCCCCCTACAGGTCATTTATAAAAAGCCACAGCGTCCTGCCTGTTACATGTCCTAAGTCCTAATGACTCTACCTGCCTCTGTATCTCGTTATACAAAAAAGAAAACGGTTGGGTCCCACCTGTGACATCTGCATTTGTCTCAGCATCAGCAGAAAAGGAAGAAAAAATATAATTTAGTTTTCTTACATCAGATTAGTGGTTAAATTCTTTCTTTTTATTTTCTTGTCGTGGACAGGTCGTACCTGACACCGGTGCGAGACGAGGAGTCGGAGTCTCAGAGGAAAGCTCGATCCAGACAGGCCCGCCAGTCGAGGAGGTCCACACAGGTGAATTACTCAGCAATGCTGCCAGTAAACAGGAAATGTATTTTCATTAAAATACATTTAGAAAAAAATGGAGAGTGGAGCATTCAATCACTAAAATATAAACCTAAACAGTTCTGTGTAACATTGGATAACTTTAGTGCCACGGATCCAAAATTAATGTTTCCTTGTTTCTTCAGGGCGTGACTCTGACTGACCTTCAAGAGGCTGAAAAAACAATCGGCAGGAGTCGTCCGCAAAAGACTGAGGAGAAGGAGGAGAAAGAGAAGCAGGACAAGGAGAAACAGCAGGAGGAGAAGAAGGAGACTGAGACTAAGGAGGATGATTACCGATCAAAGTACCGGAGCTTTGAAGAGGTACCTGCTTTGTCTTTGTAGAGCCTCTCCTCATTCAGGCCGCCATATTTAATTCTATTAATGTTTCTCCTTCCAGCGTTATCGGCCGTCGTCTTCGTCCTCTGCCATTTCATCCGTCAGCACTGCCTCCACAACTCCGTACTCCAGCTCGTCGTTGTCCTCCACCTCCAGCTCCCTCAACAGGCCCAACAGTCTGACGGGAATCACCTCATCTTATAGCAGATCCTCTCGAGAAGCAGAAAAGGGTGAGTCTGCGACGTTTGTGGCACATTTTAATTTGAAACGCAGCAGATAATGTTATTTACTGGCAGAAAGTTTTCTCCAAAGCAAACTTAATTTTTTAACTTTGTTTTCTTAACCTAAAATATTCCAACCTTATTCTTTGGATCTGACACATTGATTGTCAGCAAAAAGCAGATTATAGCTTAGAGGAAGACTATTTACCATCGGTTCCAAAGCTGCCTTGAGGTTGATTATAAACAGATTCAGCTTTATTTAACAATTGTGCAAAATTCTTTTATTTTAGTGCACAGAAGAGATAGAGGAAAATATAATACAATAAGACTGAATAGAATAAGTAAACTCACAACCCATACAGTAAAATTACACCCCTCACCTATAAATGGTGTATAATTGCTGAAATTTAGATTTTTGATATGCTTTGTTTATATTTTCAAAATGAAATGTTTAGATTTAGAGATAAATTAGTGAATAATGCAGTATTATTGGTGAATAGTGAACCCAAAATGTCTTGTTGAATGATAGAAGCGGACAGAAGGGATGAGGAAAAGGAAGGGGAGGACAAGTCTCAGCCCCGCTCCATTCGGGATCGCAGGCGGCCCCGCGAGAAGAGGCGCTCCACTGGGGTGTCCTTCTGGACTCAAGATGTAAAACCTCTTTTTGATAATAATTTCAGCTTCTGCAGGTCGGGACATCAAACATGGCTGCAACCACTTTGTGTCTGATTTTATATTCCAGGGTGATGAAAATGACCCGGAGCAGCAGTCTGACTCGGAGGAGGGCAGCACCAAAGGAGACTCACAGGTACCTAACCTGATAGTGTAAGGACAGGAAGAGGGGACCTCAGCCTGTCCGTCCAATCAAAGCAGTCCTATTATGGAATCCTTTATAGCTACGACTCACTTTCCTCTCTCCCATTTTTATCACCTTCCTCTGATCGTCTGTTGCTTCGCTGACCTTAGAAATCAAAGACACTAAGCTTTAGTGGATATTCAGAAAAGATCTAAAGAAGGGATTTTTTTAAGGTGTTAAAATCTAATCATGTAGCAATTTAAAGCCAAACTTTAATCCAAACAAAATAAACCTCTTAAAGAAGTGGTTTCCATGCTGTCCACCACAGGATTAGGCAGAAAAGGGCAGTTTTATAAGCTCATTAGTTCCTGGGTGAACTTCCTGTTTGGAGAGAAGAAAGCTAGACGGACAGTTGTTGTTTGAAGTCGGCCATTAGGGACAAGAAGAGGAACACCAGCTGTTAGCCGTCACTTATGACGGGTGGAGCAGCAGCTAAAGAGGAAGCAAGCTTTTATCGCTGCGTCTCAGACGTACAGGAAGTCATTTAGATCAGGGATTTTCCAGCTACTAACGCACTGCTAAATAAAATAAAATATTAAGAATTAACTTGGTAGTCCTGCATTTTATTTATGCATTATTCAGGCTGGTCAGAATTTAACATATTTTTTAAAGTCTTATATTAACTTAAACTTTTTTTCTTATTGTCTTACAGAGCGACAGATTGTCCAGGTAAGCTGCATCATCATATCTTGTTATTTTTCACATATCTATTACTGTGAAAATGTCCACAGCTGATATTGATTCATTTTATTCTTTAGATACACAGTATTTATATTGTAAAAAAAACTGTACAGTACAATAATCTATTTGTATTATTTTTCCGTCTGTTACTTTTTTATACTCTTTTCTTTGGTCCACATTGTGTGACCACTTCTACTACAACCTTTTGCTGCTGTAAAAACCACAATTTCCCCATTAAGGGACAATAAAGGAATTTTCTCTTCTATTGTTGTTCTGCTATGTTTGTTTTTTTACGTAATTATTTTCTAATGTTTCTTTTCTCATGATTTTCTTTTCAGAAATGAGAGCACTTCATATTTAGATCGCAACGATGCTCTTTATACCCGTAGTTATGGTGAGAGTCGAAGGCCGTACTCAAGCCGGTTGGATAGAGACGACACCACTGATTACAAAAAGGTAGTCTTTAATTTACGAGTGATCTGTTGATGTCATAACCCTCAGAACAACAAGATATTAACACCATATGAAACGTGTAGGCCATTTATGTCACTTTTGAAATCCTTCAAGTAATCCTTCAGGTTGACATATTGGTCAGAAAATGAAATAATTAGCAACCAGGAAGTAGAGATTTGAAGCGGTATTGTACATTTTAAAGAAAACCAGTCACAGCATGTTTAGGTTTGATGATTTGGGCTCATTTAATCCTATTCCAGATTTGGCCATCGATTAAAATGCTGCTCTGAGCCATCGACGGATCGATGAACCCAAACTCGGAATCAAATCCTCAAGTTTAGACGTAAACTTGATTCTCAAACAAAGTTTTAAAACATCAGCAGAGGGTTCCCGCAGGTCCTTAAAAGGTCTTAAAAGGCATTGAATTCTGAAAACTAAGGCCTTATTTGGTATTTAAAATGTCTTAAATCAGTCTTTCGTAGGTCTTAATTTTTAAAACATCATAAATAATTTTTGTAATCTAAATAAAACATTAAAATTGACTTTTTTTATTTAAAAAGAAATAACGGCTCGCCATTATTGGTTCCGTCCCGATAGCGGAACCAATAAAAGCGTTGTTGCGGGCGGGATATTTGGGAGATGCACCATTTACTTTTTGTCTGGAAAATATAAGCAAGTGTAAATGTCATCAAAATTGTCTCCAGCCAAGAGTTTTCTCCATGGCTAAAACCAGGGAACATACATGAGGCTCAGTGGATTTTGTGCAAGAAGTCATTTAAGCTCAGAACGATGGGAATTAAGGCAGTGGAGTCGCACATGCGAAGCGCGAAACACAAAGCGTCCAAATAGAGTTACCGTGAAACAGCCGGTATTTCTCGGTTTTGTCCACTTATCACCAAATCAAACATACTAAGAAAACGATACAAAGAAAAATAGCTGCAAAAAAGACTTAGCACTGGTTATGTTGGGGCTTTAAAACTGATTTGTTTTGTTCCCTTCCAAAACCAAGTTTGTGAATTCAGTTAAATAATTGTTAAAATATATCCGTCATTTGTGTGTTTTTAGCTTTCTTCCTGTATGGGAAGCTTTTCAAAATTTGAAACATTATTGCAGTGGTTTATGTTAAAATAAACCTTTGGGTTAAGTTGTCGCAAGCTGGTTTTTCTTTTGTTTCTTGTGAATTTGGTCTTAAATTTTTATTTCAAGTGGCATTAAAAAGTCTTGAATTTAACTTGCCTTATGCTGTAGGAACCCTGCAGTAAATTATGAGACCATCAGAAACAAAACAAAAAACTTTACTGTCAGTTTATCAAGAAAGGAAGGTCAAACCATTCACAATAATAACATTAACTGCTGAACGAGTGTTCTGACATGCTAAATGAGACTGTAAACATGATTTGAAGTTCTTTTATTTTTTCTCAGCTCTATGAGCAGATCTTAGCTGAAAACGAGAAGCTGAAGGCTCAGTTACGCGACACTGATCTGGAACTGGCAGACTTGAAGTTACAGTTAGAGAAAGCCACACAGGTACGCACACTTTTAACTTTTCTTCATTCAAAACGCATTTGTGCTGCGATTGGAGTTTAATGATGTGTGTTTTTTAAACGCAGAGGCAGGAACGCTACGCTGACCGATCCCAGCTTGAGATGGAGAAAAGGGTAATGAGAGAAACTCCTCACCAACCAGCCTCTGTTATATAAACATAAACTAAACCCAGTAGATCCTTTCATGTGTGTCTCAGACTAATGAGATTTAGTTTTTTTTATATAATTTTCAGTTTTTTTGACTCGTGGATGTTTCAAACATCCTAGTAACACTGCTAATGGGTTTATGTCTGAAGGTAACAAGCAGGCCCCCTTACCAGCTGGGTGGTGGTATGATGAGTTTTTGTAACGGCCTCCTCTCTGCTGCTGCCTGTAGGGTCACTTATGCTGTGGTAGCTGCCATCAGTCAGGCTCTCCACTCAGAACGCTGCCACCTTTGTTATTCTTTATTTTTTTTTCCCCTTCTCCTTCCACTTGTTTTGAAACATTAGTGGCAGTGTGTGATCGCCACCTCTGTAGACTCCTTATTTTCAAGTGTTTTTAATGTGTGGAAATGACTTTCAGATATTGTGCTAAAATACAATAAAAAAATCCACTGCATGTGTTTTCAAGCTTTTACTTTTTAAGTTTTATCAGTTTTATTAACTTTAAACCCAGACGAACAGAAATCATAGCCATCAGCTTAAGATTATTATCAATTTGGTGATTAATTTTTTTTTTCCAGTCATTTGATTATTTATTTTAGTCCTTTTCTGAAAATCTATTTACAGACACAATATTTTAGAATATTAGATCTAGTTTTAGTCACTGATTAGGCCTGAACTGGCTGTTGCTTGCACCCACCTCACAGGACATGCGAGTGAAGTGTGTGATCACCAGACACCCTCTCCCACGGCGTGTTAAATACGTTGCTGATGGGTTCTTCTGCTTTTTGGTCTGATTCAGTGTTAAACCAGCCTCTCTTTTCCCAACAGGAAAGAAGAGCTCTAGAAAGGAAGATTTCTGAGATGGAGGAGGAACTTAAGGTACCAAACGTTACATGCATGAATGGACCGTTAGGTCTTTTACTACAGCAGGAGTCTGTGTCGCTAAGTTAGGAATTTGGTAATCAGAGATGCACAGATCTGAGGTTTGTGGGAGATTTATTGTTTTTCTGAAGCTTCATCTGAGGTAGGCGGGTTAAAAAAACACTTTTCAGAAATGTGCTCAGCATTTATCTGATTTTTATTTAACTGGGACAATGTTGCAAGTGTGTCACTTTTAGCAAAAAGCTCATTTCAATCCGTATTCCCAATAAAAAAAGAAGACAAAAAGAGTTTTATCCATAAAAAGAAGAAATAGAATAAAAAATAAATCTATTTATACAGAAATCTAACTATAAAAATGCTTTTTTTTAAACTAGATCTAGCTGTCAATACAGCTTCAGCACCAAAGTTGTTGCTATGACAACCTGATGTTGCTCATGCAAGATCTGTTCAGCATCCAGAAAACTGCAGATCAGATTTCTTATTGTCAGACCTGTATGTCCATTAAAAACGACAGATTTATGGTTTTATTGCCCAGTAATGACTCCCAGTGTTCTTCCAGATCTCACCAGCGGATCAGGAAATTTTCCAATTACGATGTTTCATCGTCTGTTTACTTTTTAACCCAACAAACAATAAGCATGGGGAGAAAAATGGTTAAGTTAGATGTCACAGAAAGTAAAGTAGGTAAATGATACAGACACACTTTTAAAACACCATGCTTCAAATAATAAGCTGTCCTGTTGGTGAGTTCAATGACCACAAAAAGTGGGAGTTTTTAGTTTTAATGCATTTGATATACGGATGGGAAATAAAACCGATTGTTGAGTTTTTGGCTTGCATCTTAGAGATCAGCCAAAACATGTTCCTTGGATCTGATCCCTGACTGATTGGTTCATCAATAAAAGCAACATATAGATGCTAGATCTTAATACAATTGTTTGGAATTAAGAAGTTTATTTGATATAGATATATTCCACATGGTGATGTATTATTTAAATTTTTTAAGGTTTTGGCTGGAGAATAAAGCCACAAGCATCAAATGTTTGCTTTTGGATTTTCCTAAGATGGATTTTTGCTAAAATTCTAAAGTGATCCGTTTTCTTTCTGCTCATTTTCGTTCTGTTTTGTTTAAATTCAGAGAAAGGTTGAGCTTTTAAAGATGCTTAAATCTGTCCATGATGCACATTGAAAAGTTGAATGGAAGGAAAAAAATGTGAGGGGGTCTAAAAACAGCAGAAACGGCTCGATGATTTTAGTTTTACCATAATTATCAAAATGAACAGAAAGATTTTTTTAAATAAAAATTTCTGAGAAATCTTTTGAATTATCTAAGATGCACCGTTGTGAGGTTACTGCTACCGAAAGCAGATAAGCAAAGGGGTTTCCAGATGCAGAAACATGTTAAACATAAAGTCTGTTAAGGTTTAACTAACTACTCAGTTAATCCTCAATTCTAGATTGTTTCTTCTTATCTGAACATTTTAAGCTACTTGATGTGATCTGTGACCATCAGTGTTTAGACTCCTCTAATGATAAGTGAGATTATTTAATCCTTTGCTGGAAAACTGACTGAAAGAAGAGAGGATTAAAGCGATCTATTAAACTCCTGGTAAGACTGTTGTCTTAGACGTGTGATTGAAGGATTTTTTTTAGCTGTTGGGCTGCTTGGTTCTTAGTGTCTCTTTACCGTTTGGTCTCCAAGCATCATGCTAAACCAGAAAGCTTTTAATCATTCCTGTTTTCTGAATCTGTCCCATTTTCTAATAATCTTCCTTTTCTGTTTCCCCCTTTTCCTCCTCCTCTTCCCTCCTTGATTTATTTATAAATCCTTTGTTAGTTTTTGTCTTTAAACACATTTCTCCTCTGCCACTCTCACCCTCTGTCTCCTCCCCTTTTGTCTTTCTTCTCCACCCCATCCTCCCTGCAGAACCTCCCCCAGGTAAAGCAGGTTCAGACCCTGCGGCAAGTTAAGGAGCGGCTGCAGGCTGAGAACCGGGCCCTGGCCCGCGTGGTGGCCAAGCTCTCACAGTCGGCCTGCAGCCAGCTGCCCGCCAGCGACCTCTAAGCCACGTCTGTCTGTCCACCACCATCTTCTCCTTCTGTCCTCTTTTATCCCCTCCCTCTCTTTTTTCTCATGCTCCATTTGTGCTCTGCCCCGCACCCGTAGACAGGCAGGTGTCCAGCCGCCCTACTCTGACTGTTTGATCCTCTCCTGCCTCCCCAAAGCTTTTGGTTTTCAGATTGGGGAGGCCGTTTGCTTTATACAGCAGGACACTCTCCTTTTACAGTCTGCTACTGTCAGGGACTTTCCAAAAGCTACCGCTAATAAATATGCCAAAAAGATCTGATGAGAGCTTAGGTGAGTGACAAAGGAAGACGTGCATCTAAATTCCCAGAAATGTTTGAAAGCTCTGGAAAGGAAAGTGTCCTTTTTGTGGTTTCTAGTTTGATGCTTTCCTCTGAGGTAGCTCAGTCCATCACTTTGACTTCCTCTGGTTTTTATTGCATGAATTAGCTACCTGCAGCATCTCTTTCATTTGTCCCAGAGTATCAAACTGAACCTTTCCCCCTGCCAGCCAACAAACTGGGACCTTTTGTATTTATAACGCTTCAATTTTCACACATTTTGCAAACGGTCAAAAAGAAAAATGTCCTACATGAAGAGGAAGACTTGCTGTTCATCAACCACATGGTTAAACATGGTGGTGACAGCATCATGCTATGGGGATGCTTCTCTTTAAGTGTTCAGAGGGGTTTGGTAGGAACCAGATTTTAGATAACAGCGACTTCGGTGCTCTGCAACCTTTACATGCGTCTTTATTTGCCTTCAAAGAGGTCAAAGATTTGACTGCAGATGTAAAATAAATTGTAGATGCACCCTGGGAAACAGGAAGGAAAAATATTTTATAATTTGATTTTTCTATTTCTAAAATTATTCCAAAAAGTGTGGCCATCTTCGTTCTTTTACTTCCTAATTATGCACTGATCACATTGAAGCACAGTAAAATTTGTGGCTGTAAGGCAACAACATGTGGAAGAGTTAAAGGGCTGATTTCCTTTAGCAGCTCTGAATTTCTTTTATATTTTCATTTTATTTAGAAATTTTTTCAGTGAGAAGAAACCTTTTTCGAATAGTCGGAGCAAACGGAAAACATTATGGACATCAGATGGTTATGAATACAGGCTTTTCTTCTCTTTCACTCCTTGGCCTTTAAGTTCTTTAGATAAAAACTATGGAGATGAAATGTTTTAATAACCTTTAGTTTTGGATTGAAATTTGTCAGGTCTAAGCATCTAAAACATCATATATACAGGGAAAGAAAGAAGGCACAGAGATAATTAATTTAGTTACTCGCGAGGAGAGTAGGAAGAGACTGCGGAGTTTACAATCTCCACCCCACTCTGCAGTCTTCAGCTTTCTCCTCGCTATTTATTGAAGAAAAGGGGATGTCCCTAATTACACCAGCTGAGGTTTAACTAAAGGGAAGGGAAACAAAAAGATCTTACTTTGAACCTCAGCACATATGTTAAATCAAAGCATGTGGTTGTTTTACAATCGGATTGTTCCAAGAACACATTTTTAGAAAAAACATGTGATAGAGGATGTTCAGGCCTCTTTTACAACCCGTCCGTTGCATGACCTTTATCTGGAACGATCTTAAGCAAGAGCTAATAAAAGATGAATCACACATTATACATCATAATAGTTAATTAGAACACAACCCATGAAACACAAACAAAGTAAGAGTATAGATAAAATATTTCTAACAAAACTACAGTAAATATTTGGGGAAATAAATCAGATTCTAGTAAAATCTCTTAAACTGACTGAAACATTGTTCATTCATGTTCCCTCGGCCCATTCTTATTAGATTTGACTCTTAAAACTGTAGATTTTACAGCCAGCTGGACCTTTAGTGTTCAAACAGGTCGAGCCGCTGAGTTCAGACGGTTAAAAGTTGGTCTGTATGTTGTAGAATCGACCCTCTGACTCTGCAGCCGCTTTAGGAGGTCCATTCCACCCCCCCGCTGGCTGCTGATTAGCAGCCGCTCAGATTCTGCATGGCTTTCTGAGGATCTCTGGCCTGTGGTGTGCCCCCTCCCCCCCTCTCCTTTGCCTTGGATCAAAACTGTTATGTCAATCTTATATTTTGACAAACAAAACCCATGAAATGCTGTGTGAATTCTGACTGTTAATGGATGCCTTAATGTTTGAACCACGCATTGAAACTCCTCTAAGCTTTCTCTCTCTTCCTCCCTCCTGTCCCCCCCCCCCCCAATTTTCCCGTTATTTCCCTTTCAGATGCTCCCAGACTTGAAAGCAGACAACCAGAGACTAAAGGACGAGAACGGAGCACTCATTCGCGTCATTAGCAAGCTTTCCAAGTAGAAACAGACCCCGCCCTCGACCGCCCTTTCTTCTGCACCCGCTTGTCCCCCCCCATGGCAGCAACTAATGGAATTGCACATTTAGATATTAATTGCAACAGACATCAGAGACGAGACTCCTCCTTTTGTTCTGTTTCTCCAAGCTCTCCCTTTTTTGCTCCCTCACCACCACCGCTGCAGCCTCCATCCATCCCTCCATCCATCCATCCCTCCATCCTCCCTGGGCTGTAGTCCTCCTGATCGGTGTGGCCGCTGTTCTGATAGAAGCGCTGAGTTTACAGAGCAAAAAGGAGAAAGCGTTTGAGAGCGACGTGGACGGAGAAGCCTGAAAACTATTTAACCAATAAGCCTTAGTTGTACATAAGAAGAAAAACACTTGCATCAATCTCCTTTCTCTCAGCTATCACTGATGAACAGATATTATCCTTCACCTGATTTTATTTGTGCCACTTATTTGTTTTTTTGCTCCTGTTTCCTCTCTGTGTTGTGTGCGGTGTGATTTCCTCCTCCCCTTTTTTAAAGCGCTACTTCCGGCACCTAATTTATCATTATTATTTGCGCCCCATGCTCAATCAGGCTCGCAGATCACAAGCACACATCATCTCCCCCCCCTCCCCCTGTTTTCGTACCTCTGTGCGTCTTCCTCCAAGAGGGAAAAAAAATGAATTCTGGCGGATCTGGTGGAGTTTAAGCTTTCACTGTATGTGCAATATGCATTTCTTTCTTTCTTAAAAAAAAAATGCTTTAATGAGTTCATCACATGTAGGATTTCCACTCCTGACGCTTCCATCGCTCCATTTCTTCTCCTTTTTTTTTTTTTTCTTTTAAGTTTGTAGTCTGTTTATATATTTCTCACTTTGTTTTAGCAGGTACTGAGTGATTCTGTATATACCTGTACGTATTTTGTTTGAGAGCAGCACATGGCATGCGTTTATGGATCCCGTCTGTTACTATTAAAAACTATACAAATTCCAGAGGACAAAGAGGTGTGTTTTTAATTATTTTTCTTTTATAGTTTAAGGAAATCAGACACAGTAGTCTCTTTTATGGGACGACTTTTTTTTTTGTTATTTGTTTTTTTTGGTTCATATAATAGTGAAATCTAAAGAGTTATCGCTTCACTACATTTCACTTTTATTGTATTCAGTATCTTGGATGAGTGCTGTTTTGTTTCCCATTCTTTTTAAAAAGCTGTAGTATTATAGGCAAGATATTGTCACTTAAATAAAATGTTTGACAAAAAAAAAAGAATTGAATATCTTAGATATTGCTAACCCAGTCCTTTCTACATTGTCTACATGCACTGTCGATGCCATGTGAGGATTCGTTTGGGGTTAAAACGAAACGCCACCATCAGCTGTTCCACTCAACATTTTATGCATTTCAGTGGCCTTTTAAGGAAGTTTTAGTAAAACAAGTTTAAGAGAAGATAACTGCAGATGGACTGACGGCTGTCTGCTCTGGTTTAGACTTTTTTTTTTTTTTCAGTTCTTTCCTGTCATCTTGTAAAATAGGTGTGTGGCTTAATACATGCAAGCTGTGCTGTGACTACCAACCACTGAAGAGTTCATTAAAAATAAACTTGTACATTGTAAAGTCCCCCTGTCTCTTTATTTGCTGCATTTTACAGTTCCAGTTTTAAGGTCAATCAGTTTTTATTAACCTTTTGCCTTTAAAAAAAAAACAAAAAAAAAACACTGATTGATAAGAAGAATCACTCAAATATGAACAAACTGAATGAATTTTCTATTTCAAAGCGATCCTTAGGTTGTTATTCAGCTTTATGGTGGAAAATTAATGCAAAGATTATAAACCAGCTGCCTTCTTGAGTTAACATAAAATAAGATCAATATAAATTGAGTATATTATTGAGTATTTTAGTAAGTTATTTTCCAACTGTTTGCACTGAATGCAAAACTAAAGTGTTCATATTTGAGTCTCATAAATGTTATGGTGTTAAAACATTGAATTTCACTGCATTCAGCAGGATTTATTAAATAAATTATCATGCAGTAGGGTAAGTGTTATACATACACACATAAAGGGGGGCACATAAGCACAATATGTAATCCCAAAAACACTTCACCTGATGAGAATATTTTCAAAGCGTTTCATTAGAAATAAAAGCCCGCTGCAGTTTTCTGTTCACTAATAAGGGAGTCATATGTTCACTAATCCTAAACTGCCAGTAGACTAACACATGTAGCACAGTTGCATCCAACACTACTTATAGCTAATATGGTTAAATTAAAGATTTCTTTAAGGGAGAATTAGTTTACAATGTAACATCAGTTGCTTAGTTCAAGACAAAAAACTAAATCTGTCCCATCTGTGAGGCTGCCATCTCAAATCTGACCACTAGAGGGCAGCAGTGAAGGTTTTTAAAGATTTCAGTTCAACTGGAACTGCTGTGCATGAAAGAAAGGTAGATTATAGTGGCATAGAGATGATTAATGAAAATGAATAAGATAATTAAAATAAAACCATTTAAGAAAAATTTGTAAAATATAATGGTGTGTGTGTAAGAAAAATACAGTTTTTTTTTTATGTTTTGTTCATTTGTCATCTTCAATTCCAGATCAAATGTTAAGCTTTAACCACTTTAATGTCCATTTGATTACACATCTGATTGCTCATTTATTCCACTATAATATCAAAGATGCGCCACCCAAAAGAGGGTAAGGGGTTATTTCTTATGAATATTAAATTAACATTTGTTTTATTGTGCTCCCTTTTTGTAGGGCCACTAATTGTATTTATTTTATTTTTTCCTTTTCAATAAAATAAATAAATCAGGGAGTTTAAATAATCAATGGTGGGATTTGAAGCATCACGTCTTAAAATAGTTGAATGTTTGATACATTATTAACCTGTTATCATATATTTCCATTGCTTTTTTTGTCCTCAGTCTTTTAATAATCTAAAACCTGTTTCAGAGCAGTGATCCTCCTCTGCTGTTATGTATTTATTGCCTTCTCTCAGCTGAACAGGCAGCAGTTGTTGGTCCCCATTTAACGTCTGGGCTGATTTTATAGCAGTGATTCCTGATCACCTGGCTGGTCCCCGGTCTGCCATCCACCCAGTCAGAGCTCATTAAAACTTCTCAGCTTATTAAACTCATTCAGACGCTGCCTTTTATAAGAAGGACCGTAAAACTGACACAATGACAGAGAGAGCTGGAAGTGTGGAAGGGAGGATGTTTGGTTGCAGAAATAATCAAAATTTTGTTCAGTATAACACCACATTAGATTCAGTAGCTTCCTGAGTTTCCTGTAATCTAGCTCAGGGGAGGAAGTCCTACATTTTTATTGTAAATTATCAGTCTGCAACTAAAATCAGCCAAGTTATATTTAATTTGCATCTTCTATAGAGTGAAAAAAAACATCGCCTGACATAATCGATGTCAAAAGAAGAAGACTGGTATAAAACAAAGAGGCAGTTACAAATTCAATTAAAAATTCCTCATTAATCCCACAGGAAGATTAAACAATAAATTAAAGTTCAGCAAAATATATTTTTTAAGGATACTGACTAGTGTCACAGCAGGGTTATAAAAAAAATAGGTCACATTTTTTAGACTAGATTTTCATAAAGTCCAATTGAATAAAAAATGCATGTATTAAGTTTGTCAAAATGTATATTTTATGGTTCTGCATGAAATACACAACAAAGAGGTTGAGCAGTGGCTTAATTGGCTTTAAACAAGTAGCTTTTAATTGCATAAAATATTCACAATTCTGTGTTAGTAATCTTTGATGTTAGTATATTCATATGAATAATTATATACTGTGTGTTTAAAAGTTAAAATGTCTAAGCATTCAGGAGGTTCCAATTGAGAGTATCACTGCTGCCTCCTTCTGGTTTGGAGAAGAACTGCTTATTCCAAAGGAGGTGGATTACATTGATACAGGAACACTTAATGATCTGGTTGGTAGCTCCGCCCCTATAAATGCTGCTGCCTGCATCCTCACTAGAACTGAGAGAGTGGAGCATATAATCTCCATTCTGAACTCCTTACATTGCTTCTAGGTGTTTTAGATAATGGGCTGCAAAACAGTCAATCAATTTTTTTATTCAGAAATGCTGATGTGTTGAATTATGCCCTCATTTCTCTGTTTTATAAGTCAAATCTTTGGTTTCCTTTATTTTTAACTTAGCCTTAAGTATCAGAGTATCTCTGTTTTACTTTGCCGTTTAGACTGGAGGGCATTCCATTAGGTATAAAAAGCTAAGTCAGCCTTACATAACTGTAAGATAAAAAGATTAGACATGAGGAAAAAAAACTATAGGACATTTAAGGTGATTGCTGGAACATTTTAAGACTGCAGGAGCAGATTCTTATTTAGAGTTGATCTAGTCTTGTAAAGATTAGTTGATAGTGTATTATGGCCAGTTTATTGACATTTATAATGCTGTATGGTTAAATCGCTGTTAAGGTGTCCCAGGCTGTTTCTATAGGTGTTTACAGCTGGGTTGGTGATCTTTTCTCATGTGGTTGGATCTGGCTCAAACATTTTTGTTTGACTGTATCTGAGGTCAGGCCTTTTTGTTTCTCTTCTCCAACCTGCAGCCTCCAGTTTTCCTCCAGTTTAGTGCTGACTGTCCAAAATCAATCTAGACTAATGCAGGCTTTCCTCTACTGGAAACTGGATACAAAATTGGGGAAAATATTGTGTAGTTTACTCTAAGCAAGAAGGAAGCTAATAACATGAATAGTATCATGTACATTGAAAGTAATATAATTTATATTAAGTAAATTATGAAAACTGTCCATTTGGTAGGGATATAGAGATGGAGATCTGTGTTAGTAGCTCTAACCAGTGCGATCTTCTAATTCATGTTTTCCTCATATGTTGCAGCCGTACTAAACATGCAGACAGAGACTTAGATCTAAGCATATTAATGTTATAATGGCCTAGTCAAAGTCCAGATTTAAATCGAACTGATAATCTGAGGCAAGAGTTAAAATTAATGCTCACAGATTATCTTCGTCCACTTTGGAAGAGCCCTAAAATATTTAGCAAGAAGACGGAGACAGAACTTCCGCCTGTAGGTTCCCTGTATAAACAGGAAGTGGGAGATTTGTCATTGCTTTGATTTAAAATCATATTTTCTTCCCCTCTTTAGCATCACTCTGCCTTATTTACTTTTTTGTACTAAATCCTTGTTTCTATCTTTCCATCTAGCCATTCAACCCTTTTTTTTCTATTTTACACATGCGACCCATCCTGCACATAACTCCTTTTCCCTTCTTATAACGACGCTTCATACTTTCAAGCACTACAGTGCAAAGAGTAAGGAGAGCTGGAAAGACTTTAAAATGACCGGTTAAGTTCTCAGGAACATTGAACTGAAGAAATATGGCTTGAATCTCTGCCTTAGTTGCAAGTTGGTCTAAATCTCACCACAACAGAGTGGGTCAGGACGGGTCCTGTTTACAGCTGCTGAGGTGCTAATCTTGTTTGTTGCAGTACAATAAAAAAAAAACGAATTTTCAACTTTCTGGAGCTGCAAACGCCACTTCCTTTACAAGCTTTAAATATCTTAATCTATACACCTATATATCTATGTGACGTAAATTTCTAGCTACCTTCACAGGATGATTTCTTCTACACAGGATCAGCCAGAGGGATCACTTTAGCACAGATCTGCATGGAAGGATGAGCATGGAGGGCATGCAAATTATTTTCTATAGCAGAGTTGAAAGAAAAAAACATATTTAGCTGCTTAGCTAAGCTCTTCCAGGTGTTTTTAGTTTGTTTATTAGAGGGCAAAGTTCCTCTGACTGTGTAGTAAGCTGCTTACTACCCATAACTTCTCTGCACAACCTTCGATTCCAGTTATTCCCCACAAAAAGATGTTTTTACTTTTCTCTGTGGGTTTACCTGAGCTTCATACGATGAAGCTCTTTGCTCCTTCCTGTTAGAAAATATTCATGAAAATGGAATTGGACCTTTTCAACTGCAGTCACATGCAGAGACACTCTCCTCTCATTTCTCTTTGGCCTAATCTCTCTGTCTCCTCTCTACCGGAAAGCACAGCAACCCAAACAAACCTCCTCCCCAGCTGCAATCTTAAACGCTCGACTTAGACACACTCGATGCACAAAACCACTCTGCTCAGAGGAAAAAGAAAGAAAACAGCAGCAGGGTTTCTCTCCGGTGACAAACAATGACAAATCGAGGTACCCTGATGATGTGACAGCTCGAGTCTGTCGCTGAAACAAAGATAAACATGCTCGGTTAGAGGAATGCAATCGAAGGCAACGGAGGATTATCGTGCATGCATGTTGAAAACAGGATATAGAGATGTCTTTCACACTCAGGCGGAGTTTTAACCGACTGCATCGGCAGAAAACTAAATATCCCCCATTGTCAGAGAAAATAGTGGAGTCAGTATCAGCTCTGTTTTATATGTAGAAAATAGATTATTACACACTAAATAAGATACAGAAAATCCGTTTTTTTAGCCAATAAGCAAACTTTAAAAAGTGATATACAAGCAAAGCTTAAAAAGGTTTGGAAACTATAGTTTTCCAAAAGGAACAAATCAACTTCCTTTTAGGTTTGCTGACGTAAACAGACTCCTCTGG